GGGCCTCTTTGGAGCCTGTCGGTCACAGTATATATAGCTCCCAGTTCATGTGAAAAAGCTCCGGAAGTTCGTACCTTGAGCCACACGAAGAAGACTCCCGAGGCCATGGCGGCGGCGATAATCCATTGAATCAGAGAAACAGTGACCTGCGAGACATCGATCTTCGGGCCATGTCCGATGTTTCTCAGGGCTGAGAGAGGTGGATTCATAGTAGGGCTGAGGTTCGTTTAGAACTTCTACGCTTTTGCGTGTGGTTGAAGGCGACGGCAAGAGCAGGAGAAGAGAAGTAGGGAGACAAAGCGTTTATAAAATCCTCGATGAGTCAGGCTATTGCCAGGTTATAGCCGATTATTGTCGCTGAAAGTGAACCGCTATGGCTCTGTCTGTGAGAGGTGAAATCTTCCGCGAGATCCATGCCGCGTTGTTCTCTTTTATCGTGCATAGCGGTATAGTCCGGGTACCCAGGGTGTAAGGATGGGATAAGCAAGTCCTGCGCTGGCTTGTAGTGCGATACTTGACTCTTGATTAACGCGCCCTTATTATCAAGCGCCCATGGCTCCTCACCACGTTTTTCGCTTGCTTTGGTGTCGATTTTGAGGTAATTCTACATGCTGGCTACGATAACATTCGTATTCTCGTCTTCTTTTCATTCACAATTCACTCTTCTCCGCTGCCAGCTCATGTGCTTACCAATGTTGCTGCGCCGCTTCGTCACTGGCATCCTTCTCATCTTCTTAACTAGACTGGTTGGCATCTCCCGCCCGCTCTAAGAAACCATGTGACATCCAGCCCTAACCTACTCACTGGTAAGAATAAGCTATGTCGCGTACGGCGTGCTATGTTGTAGATAGCTCGGAACAACTTAGAGACATCCCTTTGGAAGTGTTGTGCAGTGACGCCGGCGAGTCCCATATATCAGACCCACCACGTGGCGAGAGCAGCCGAACGCGCCTCGCTTTGAGCGCCTTTGAGCACTTGCCCTCCTGCCCCTCCCTGTTCGACGCCCCTCGCGATGAGCACCGCCGAATGCATTGCGTCGGCGAACGACCTTCTCGCCGCGCACTCCGCACTGCTAGCACACGTGTGCACGAACCAGCGGGCGCACCGGCGGCAGCTGCGCACGCTGCCGTCCCCGCCGCAGCTCATCTTGAACGTCCCGCTCGTGCCGTCGCCCCAGCCGTCCCCGCCGCCGCCATCGTCGTCGCGCTCACCCTCACCTTCGCGGTCACCTGGGCTCCCGCCGAGGCCGGCACCGTACCGCCCGGACCTGCCCGCGGCGAAACGCGCGCGCATGGCGCGCTACGGCAACTACGTCCCCGAGGAGGAGACGATCCGCAACGACTACTCGCAGCGCTACGTCGACGGCGGCGAGTGGCCGCAGAACTGGGTGCTCGGTGCGGACCCGGAGCGCCGCTTCGAAGAGTGCGTGTCGTCTTTGTTTTTGCTCGTGGAGGTCTTGTGCGCGGATGCGGTCCTGGAATGCATCCTGGCGGGACGACGAGTGGTCGGCGCCAGTCGTCGTTGCGTCTGGATATATTCTGAGTATGCTGCATCGGCGTAATGAGGGCCTTTGCGTGCGTCTTGCAACGTGGCCGGGTCTTACACTTGCTCACCTCCTCCAATCCAGATACCCGAAACAACAACGCCTGCTCGCACTTAAAAAGGCCTCTGTCGCCCAGCACGCCCTCGCGCCCCGATACCTCTCCTTCTCGTCCCTCTCCTCGCTAAACCCATCCAAATTCGATGTCATCCTCATCGACCCGCCCTTCTCGTCGTCGTTTACATGGGACGACCTACAAGAGCTCCCGATACCAACACTCGCCGCCGACCCGTCGTTTGTGCTCATGTGGGTGGGCAGTGGTGCGGGCGAAGGTCTCGAACGTGGGCGTGAGATCATGGCGAGGTGGGGCTTCAGACGATGCGAAGATATTGTGTGGGTGAAGACGAACCACACGACGAATCGGGGACCTGGCGTGCGTTTCTCCCTTTGCTCATTATCCTACGGCCTAACGCGGAGCGACTATTCTTTAATCCAAGATAGACAGACCCGCCTACGACATCGCTGCTCACTCGGACTAAACAACATTGTCTCATGGGCATTCGTGGTACAGTGCGGCGATCAACAGATTCCTGGTTTGTGCATTGCAACGTTGGTGCGCTTATCCTCGTTTTTTTTGGCCATCTCAGCTGCTTATTCCATGCTCTACAGACACGGACGTGCTGATCTGGGAAGGCGATGTCTCAGATCCGACGCTGAAGCCTCCAGAGATGTACACTCTGATAGAGAACTTTTGTCTTGGCCTCCGTCGGCTAGAAATCTTTGGACGCGCACGCACGTTGCGGCCAGGGTGGGTCTCTGCACTCGCCGAGGGCGAGGAGGCGCGGGTGCAAGATGCCCTTGGAGACGACGCGCGGATGGAAGACGAGGACACGCCCGTGAAGTGGGACCGGGAGTCTTGGGAGGCGGGTATGAAGGAGCTGGTTACGAAGGCTGGTGGAAAGTTTGTTGTGCCAATGACAAGTGGTGAGCTTGCTGCTACCGCCCGCTTTCTGTCTCGTTGCTTATGTGCGCCCAAGAAATCGACGCCCTCCGACCAAAGTCTCCAGTCCGCTCAGGCGGACCATCGTCGACGTCAACTGGCGGTGCGATACCGATGTCAGGCGCGCCGAGCGGGATGGCCACGCCCATGGGCATGACGACGCAGCACAATCACAACCGCAACTTCAACCCACCTCCACGTATGATGGGCCCTCCTATCATCATGGGTGGTGTCGGACAGATGGGCGGGATGGGCAGCGAAGGACTGATCATGCCGATGCAAAACATGGCGCAGAACATGGCGCAGAACATGGGATGGCAGGACCCAAACGCAGGCATGGCAGGCATGGGTGGCGGCATGGGTGGCGTCGGCGGCATGAGCATGGGCGGCGCGCAGGGCATGGCGGGGATGAACACCATGGGGAACCACCTCGGCGCGCTTGGGGCGCTCGGGAACATGGCGAACCTGGGGAACATGGGTGGGAACATGGGCGGGGGCATGGGTGGAAACATGGGTGGGATGGGCATGGGCGGGATGAACATGAACCAGTTTGGCGGCGGTGGCGGCGCGGGGTTCGACGCGAGCGGGATGCACGGCATGGGCGGCTGGGAGGGGCAGGAGATGATGGGCATGGGAGGGATGGGGATGGGTGCGGGCGGAATGGGGAGCATGGGGAGCATGGGCGGGATGGGCATGGGCGGGGGCATGGGAATGCCGAATGCGATGGGTCTGAATGGGATGAATCAGCCGATGGGGATGAATGCGGCCGTGGGCCCTCGCCTGGGCTCGATGAACGCCGGAATGGGCCTAGGTCCCATGGGCGGCGGGATGAACAATATGGGCATGGGCGGGATGCAGGGCATGGGCCAGTGGAGGACCAGATGAGCGGGGGACAGCTCTTGTATATTTTGCTGGACACTTGCTTCGCCAGTCGAGCCTGCGATGTATTATTTACTGTATAATTTTCAACGTTGGATTGCGGGCGCCTGGGCGCCACAAAGGCGTTGCGCGGCCTGGGCCCGCCTGCGCTTGCGGACTCTGCGCCCAACGTCGACCAGGCTCTGGACGGCAACCGGCCGGGGCAGCGCGGCCCTTCCGCATCTCTCCCTCCGTCTTGGGACACTGATTCCCCCGATTTGCTTGCCTCCTGTCCTCTGTGCTTTCTCTCGAACAACCATGGCCATGAACACAGCCCCCCCGGACGCCCTCGAGACCAGCAAGCTCAACCGCGGATACCTCCACCCATTCTGGAACGGCGGAAGCGGGCGATACTTGTATGGCGTCGGAGAGCTCCCCAGGACGGTGCGCCAATGAGCTTCGTTCGTGCGAAGATGGCCCCTGACACTGACATGCCTGCAGCTCACCGAGCTCGCGATGTGCCAGTTGTCCGCCACAACCAGGCGGTCCGACGGCTGGTGGACGAAGCTGAGCGACCCCGTGTGGAGGTGCTCCTGGAGAAATACCGCACTCAGCTCGTCCTTCTGTGTCCGGACATCGACAGGCAACACCGTCGTGTTTCTCTCCCAGAAACAAGTGGGTCGTCGATTGGGCCGACGTTCATCGCGATGGAATCTTCAGGCTGAGCTATTGTAGGTTCAATATGTCCTCGACGAGCTCTCAGGGTATCTCGCTCTCAAAAACCAAGACGCGAACTGGTGCGTACGCTGTGCTCTGCCTCAAGCGAAACGTGCTAACTCGGCCTTAGCGAGGTTTCCTGTTACGACCGCATATGGGAGACCAGTACCCCCAACGACCCATGCCTCCTGCACATCCTCCAAGAACAGCTCAACACCCTTCGAACGGTGTCCTCGCTAGGGACCTCCTGTCGCAATATCATCAACCCCTACCTCCACCCCGTAGTCTACGGCCGTACGCTCGTGCGAGACCTGTCCGGCACGCTCGTCCCAGCCGAGCCTCCCCCGTTCTCCCAGCTCAACTACACCATCTCGTCGCGCTTCGCCTGCCTCCCAACGCTCTTCGCGGTCTCGCCCTGCCCATCGGCAGGCCCGCCGATGGTCACCACGCTCTCGTACATCAATGGCGTGCCGCCGTGGCAGGACGGACTGTACCGTAGCCTCGAGGGCGCCCTCGCTGCGTCGGTTCCGCTGTTCGAACATGTGCTCACCGATCTACACCGCAGCAACCTACTCTCGCACCGCATCCCCGGGACGTGCAGGTACACAGCGTGGGACGAGCCCCTCACGCCTGAGCACTCGGACGACGAGGAGAGCTGGGCGGTCTACCAAAAGGAGCTGCGTTCCTGGACGCTGAGCAGGCCGATACAGTATCCGGACGTCCTCGAACAGGGGTATATGGGTGGGATGGAGGAGAGGAAGTTCAGGGCGAGTCTCAGGGGGAGGAACATCAAAGTCATTATCAGAGTGACTGACATCCAAGTGGTGGGTACAAGATTAGCAGGAGCCTGGACGAGACTTAACGAGAACCACAGCACCCAGATCATCCTGCATTCGATGGCACACCTTGGCACGCCGAGGGCATGAGAAACGAGCGTATCGTTGCGTCCGTCGTACAATGCATAGCAATGGTGCGCTCCCATCTACAGTACACTCCCTCATCGAACTCAGTTTTCCTTTAGTCAAACGTAAAGCCCATCAGCCTCTCGTTCCGCATGCCCGTCCGTGCACCAGTGGGCTGCTCCTCAGACGACGAGGGCGCGACGATCCGCACCTGGGGCCTGCGGCTCAACTCGTCGAGTCACCAGTTCCTGGGGACGACGAGCCTGCGGGCGGGACACGCGCTTGCGTTCCCGAACATCTACCAGCACCGCTTCACGGATGTGCGCCTCGAGGACACCGCGCGGCCGGGCGCGCTCACCCTCCTGAGCCTGCACCTCGTCGACCCCGAGCTCACGGGCGGTGGCGGCGACGACGACGCGTCGGACCTCGAGGTGCCCGCGACGAACCGCGTGCCGGCGCAGCAGACGGCGTGGGTGCGCGCCGCGCTCGAGGAGAGCATCGACACGCGCGTGCCCGAGGAGATCATCGAGCGCATCATGGACTTTGTCGAGGGCGTGTTGACCGACGACGAGGCGGCCGCGAGCGCGCATGCGATGAAGCACGAGCGCGTGCAGTTTTGGAAGGAGCACAACCAGTTGTGGTTCAGCTTGCCTTTTGCTGGGTTCGAGAACTGAGAGTGCCAGGTTTGTTTCGAGGGCCCCGAGGGGCCGTGGATGCACAGGAACACGCGTGCCAGGAGCTGTTAACATTTCATCCAGGGTTTTATGCTTGGTTCTGTTTTCTACGGAGGAATCATTTTGTGTGTACGTCTTTCATCGGCTCTACCTTGACCTTGTCAGACCGTGTCGACGTTCAAACGGGCGTAAGACTTGTTCGCCATGTACATGCAGGCATGACGAGCCTGCGTCCGCAGCTGTGTCGTTTAGTGTAATAGATGATAAACACGATATCTCGGATGACAACTGTCCGAACGGATCTGGCGCGTCATCCTCATTTCCGCATCTGAGCTAGCACCGCCTTTCAGCTCTCAAGATCTCTTGTCCAAGAGGAAGTCTATTCGCGCCAGAGTGTCGGTGTCGGTCCCAAGCAAGCCCGAGAACAACATATGGTCTGTTATGACAGTACTAGTGATGTCACCTCTGCATGAGCTTGAAGCATTTGTTTGCTCTCTCGTGCGTGTACTGCGGCCATCCGACCGGCACAGCAGATCGTGAACGTAAGAGATCCTGGACGTAAGCAGCTCACAGGACGACACACCGAGAACACACTTACGTCCCGGATCGAGATCGTTCACGAAACTGTTCAGGAAGCCGAGCACCTGGTTCGTATAGCGACGGCAGCGAGGACGGAACCGAGGGTGACGCCGAGCTAGATTCGAGTTTTTCTTTTCTTTTCGGAATGAACGCGAACGGTGGCTGCAGCGGCGCGCGGAACACTATGGCCGTGTGTGTATTACGCCTCGTACAGGCTGTCGCTTGTGCCGAGCGTGGGTTCGTTCGCGGGGTACGGTGTGTGGATCGTTGCGAAGGTGCCGTTATTGACCGTCGAGAAGTCTGAGACAAGCAGCTCGCGGATATAGCTATCGAAGACGCCATTCTCAATGGCGGGTGGGGTGGAAAGGCTGCAGAGAGCTGGGTACCCTCGTTGAGCTGTAGGAAAGTATATCAACACCGCTAGCCTCTGCTAAATGCGACGTAAGAGCTCACGTTTTTCCTCCCAAGCATAGGCGCATGCAAGAGAGGCCGGTTGTCAGGGCTGGTCGTTGATGCGCTCGCTCGTAAGGGTGGATGTCGCGTATGGGGGAGCGGTATACAGAAACGTTGAATATACAGCTAACGCTTAGCAAACAGCTGAGCCCACGCCGAACCACTAGCACTTAACGACCCAGGCTTTCTTCGCACCCAGTCGCTTGAAGGCGCTGGGATATGACTTGCCAAGTTTATGAATTTATCGTACATCGACGCTGACGAAGTTGTCTTGCTATGCAACTAAGAGTGAATAGGACGCAGTGCGGAACATAGCGCATAAACTTACAAGGGGATCGTGTAGAAATTCATGATATTTGCATGGAGTAGCCGTTGCTCTGAAGTGGATGTGGTGGGACTGCAAGCTGCCTGCACCTGCGGACTGTGAAACGCAACGTAAGTCCAAAGACGCGTTTTGTCTCATCGTAGTGCTCACTCTCCCCCATATAGTCACCTATGACCGCGGTGACTGTCCAGTCGGTACTCGAGCTGCGATTCATCAGGATCTCCGCCGAATGGACTGATATCGTTCTTCTATAGACCTGCATTGAGATCCTCTGGTGGAACATGCCGGCCGGTTACTGGCTGTATATCCGAAAAACCATTAAGGCTGCAGAGCTAAACCCCAAACTAACTTAGCGTGGGTACCGGAGAAGCCCAAAGGATTAATTCGCTACTTACCAGACAGGCTATCATTAATATTAAAGACGAGATACAGACCAGAAGTAACGCCACACATTGATACGAGAATTAGGGCTCTGAGATATTGACACTCCCGCTAGCGATGCGTATCAGGTCGAAGGTATGGAGATATAGGCACTGCGGCAAGACTCTCGTTCAGTATTATTGAACAAGATGTCACCATGCACATACCCGTGCAGCCACACGTCTCCCTGAAACGCTTTGGCTCGAATCTTTGTCTACATGTGATATGGATGGCAAGACCCGACAAGAACTGGGAGCTTGTCCATCGCCAAGATTCTGAGTAGTCTCTAGACCTGATTGTGGGAGGCACGGTGTCAGCTAAAACGATGCAGACATACATTAGCGTGCATTCAGTTTGAGTTAGGTGGTCCACGTCCATCGGCACCTCGAGGGCTGCAGATGGTAACTAAGGGCAACTGTCCCTAAAATTACTGACATCTTGTACTTCCATAGGTACTAGGCTTATGAGGAGTGCTGGAGATTTGAAGCACAAGATCTCCGAGTCCAACGACGACTCGGAAAATGGAAAACCAAGCCATCGTTCGGTTCCGTTCGAAACGGAGAAAACGCCACGGAAAACTCTGGACGTGAGACTGACAGCGAGGGAAGGCGGAACCGACGTTACAGATAACAGGGACGCCGGCGGGCACAGGAGAGTAACGAAGCCAGAGAGGATGGGCATCTTCGGGCTCGCGAAGAGCACATGGCAAAACTGGTCATTATACAAGATCAAGTCAGCTGTTTGAGAGGGCGATAGCCATATACAAAGCGTACGCGTTCAGTCAGTGATGCAAACTTTTCAATGTCAGTTCGTGGGTAACAGGAGACATATAAAGGTAGGACATGCGTGCAAGCGTGAGAGTCATCCTTAGCAAAGATTCGGTACCATTAAGCTGTTGGCTTGACTCGAGAGAAACAGTAGCGGACATTCGAGATAATTATGATTAGTTGCTCTATTCTTTCTCGGGTAGCTTGAGGCTTGAAAGCTTGAAGACGGACAGTACTTGACTAGCTTGACTGGCTGTTACAGTGACGGGCGCTTGCGCGTACTTGCTCTCAACCTCCATGAAGCGGAACGTGGTATACTTTATATGACTTGTTTTGCTGAGCTTTCTACTCGTGCGATACAACAGAACAAGAGCTGAACAATACTCCCTACAAACGCAAGGTTGGTTTTCTAGGTCTTGGCACATTGATTTGTACATCAGCGTTTCGACAGTGGCACCGCCGATGCGTCACGTACTTGCTGTTGCGGCCTCAATGCCGTACATCTCTCAACCATCTTCAGCCGCATGTCAACACATAAAATCATTTCAGATCGTGCCGATCCGCATGGTTGCGCACGGGGCGCGTGCATGAACTTCACGATGGTGAGGTCATCGCCAGACGGCGCCCGTCTGCCGTTTGTCGCCATCCGACTTCGACTGATAAATGTACTCTTCCCATGGGCAGCCGCTGAACATCTGGATGGGTCCGGACAGGCGTGTTGATTTAATTTAGCGACTCGAGGTGCACCGGCTTTGAGGTTTTCGCGCCGTCTCTCATTTGTGCTGACAGATATCCACCGACCCTGGCCCTCAATCTCGGGGGACGTTGCCCGCAACTGGCAAACACCGCTACACCTCTTCGTCTCAGTCAGAACAAGAGATCCGTCGCTGGAGTGTGCTGTAATTAATGCTGCATGTTGTCGACGGCAAGCCTGGCGCGCCGTAGCCCGTGCCCTGACATCCTTCTGACGCGCTTTTTAATAAGAGTGAGCATGGCTTTTTCTAGCGACTTTGCCCCATCATTTCGACTGATCCCCGTCTACGGCACGAAACTCACTCCACCTTCTAGACTGCTGCCTCCAAGTCCTCTCTCCCGAGCTCGATGTTAAGATTCAATGGCCGGTCCAGATCACCTCATTATTTCCATCGAACACGGAGTTACAGGCCATTGGCGGGTACCTGCATCGCTAGCGTCAAGACGTCAGGATAATATGATGAACTTGGCAGTTTCTTGGAAGGTGTATAAAACGCTTCACCTGGCATAGATAGAGAGCAAGGGTGAGCCCCATCTCTCCTTGCGGACCGTCACGAACTAAAGTCAAGAATGCGCTTCAACAACGCTCGTGCTTTTTCCCTCGTAATCGGGCTGCTCTCCTTCGCGGCGAGCGGCACGGCTCGTGCGACATACCAGCATCTTGCTCGGACGACGTCGGATGTATGTGCCAACATCGACCTCGAGTTGGCGGTCGACGTCTTGGGCATCAAAGTCATAGTTGGCCTTCTCGGTCGGTGCTAGTTTCATTGCTAGCCATTGTCTCTAAGATGACTTTCCCAGACATTTGCCTTTGCCTTTCCGCTATTCCTGATCTGTGCAATTCCAAGTCTAATCCCGTTGTCGCGAGTGCGGTCGGTCTTGTCGGAGTAGCGTCAGTCGAGGCTACTCTGACGGACACGGTTAGTGACTCGTTCCACCCTCGCATAGCTGTCTGACGATTCGTTCAGGTCAACACCGCTGCGGGCCATGAGACCTGTACTTATCCTGACAACTGTGATCCCCTCTGTTCGGCTGGGTATGCGTTTATTTACTTGATGAACAAAAAAAACACCTCTTGACAAGCCAATACACAGAAACCCTTGTGGCTTCCAATGCAAGAATGGCTTCGTCCCCTCTCCCGCCTCGCATCCCACGCAATGCATCTGTCCTGCTCCGAACAAGGTCTGCAACGGCATATGTGGCTCGTACAAGTCCTGCCCCTCTTCCGGGCCCAAGAAGCGCGAGGACCTCGAGCGTAGGGCCGTCTGCGGCGCCGAGCTCACGGCATGCGGCGTCTACGGTTTCGGCAACTTTAACGCGTGGGAGTGCGTCGATACCAAGAGCGACCTCGAGAGCTGTGAGTGGACGATCCTCTCGCCCCATGCTGATCGGCGTACGCGAGTCACCGCTGACTTCACTTTTCATTGCTTTGGGTAATTCTACGACGCGTCAATCTGTTTCGCACATATCCTGAACTCAACTCTGCAATTTCGGTTGTAAACTCTACACTGAAGGCGGCGGCTGCATGGTGCCCTTTGGCCGTAACCTTGCACGGGGCGTTGACTGCACGGGTATCCCAGGCGTCATGGATGTCACTTGCGTTTCAGGCTCCTGCGTCATTCGTCGCTGCCAGCCTGGTTACGTCGTCTCCCTTGACAACACCTTCTGTCTCCAGACCGAGACTCTTACCAGGCTTCAGGCCGAGGCCGGCGACGAACCGGCCGCCCTCTACGGGCTGGAGCACGTCCCGCTCCAGAAGAAGAGTGCCTGAGGAATACGGTTCGATCGCAATCTCAACGAGGTGGGGGTTAGCGTGCCTGCGGCAGCGAGAAGCGCGTATCGTTTGACCGGACTCTGTGGTGGAATCGAAATAGGCACGGATGGACTTCTAAAGCTAGGACGTGATCGTGTACCCGTCTGATTTGTAACTATGCTTCGGTCCTGAACATGCATGATTATTGGCTCGTCCTCTCTGTCTCGTAAGGTCGTTTGAAACTTTGATTTATATTGACACGATGTCAATCTCGGCGTCAAGATGCAGCAGCACAACACAATTTATCCGACTACCGCACATCCACAGTGCAGTCCCTAATGGGCTGCTTGAGCGACTCAGGCACGAGCATCATGCATGGATTTCCGCAGCTGTGGCTTCCATAAGTGAAGGAGATTCATTGGTCATGGGGGGCGAAGACGACGAGAGCTCCACAGCCTGCCGGCGGCGAGCAATGATGGTGTTGAATGTTGTCTGTTATCAAGGTTACTATCGAGTTACTCCGAAGCATTTAAGACTTACGATACGATGCCTTCCAACGAGTTCCCCGAACAACTGCAGCCTTTCGTCTGGCATCTTCTCGAGGAAGTCATCGAGCGTGACGCTGTTCAAGATGATCGCAGCAGCAAAAACGTTCATGCCATCTATTGCAGCGAGGTCACGCTCGTCCTGCAGGGTCAGGCACAGGTATCGTCAAGTCAAGTTACGGAAGGCATGATGAGCGGATGTCTCAAAAGGCAAACGATAAATAAATAAAATATTGGTAGCGCACGTACCAGATCCTCGTCATCTAGTTCCAGCCAATGACGGTCGCCCCAGATAACACCGCCTGTGATGTCTCTGCCCTCGGCCAGGTCTCCGAATAGTCTTACTGTCCGTGCTGCATTTGCGAGCGTCAGCGGAAACGCGAGCTGTACAGTCGTGTCTGCACGTTTGTCGCAGCACGCCTCCGCAAGAGCAAGATCCCGCTTGAACTTCTTCACCGCTTTAGCGACGGGTGGCGAGAACGGGTCCACTGACAGAAGCTCTTGGCCACCCATATGGCCGTGTGAAGGCTGGTCGAGCGGAAATGACTCGAAAACGATGAGTAGGTGCGCGAATCGCCAGGAGAGCCGGTTCACGAGCGAAGTCAGAGCCTCGCACTTACTCGGCATCGTCCGGAGAGGGCAAAAGGTAACCGCGGCGTCTGGATCGAGAACGATGTCCGCGCCGCCGAGGCTTTCGCGTTCAGTGAGCCGCACCGCGCACGCAGCCGAAGCTAGCGCCCGAACCAGTCCACGCCTCTGGATAAATTCGAGAGAGACGAGGTACCTGTGCCGGGTGCTCGGCAAAAAATGTGTATCTGGCAAAATGAGCGCATGGCCGTCCACGAGTTCGGGGGGTACCGTAATAGGAATAGTGTCCGGGCCGCTGCCTCGCGCCACTTGGATAGTAGGGAGATGATGAACGACGTCCGGTGCGACGACTTGCCTAGAGCGTAATCGCATGAATTCTTGAAGCGACGTCTTTGCGGATGGACATTGCAGGAGGCTTGCGTTATCCGTGACAGATGGAATGTTTGTATGGCGCTCTATTGGTAATTCACAAGGTTGCAGCTGGTTACCCGTCGGGAAGTTTGTGCTCTCTTCGTCTTGAAATCGTGCTAGGTCAGGTTGGCCAGCAATAGCACCCGTCACAGCCAGCGTCGCGCGCGGTGGAGCAGAAGTGCTGTCGGTAGTGCCGTCAGCTCCATGGAAGTGTCTAGAGTGAGCGCAGATAGTAGTGTCATTCTCAGGACCATGAGGCGGAGGTCGTGTCCAGACTGAAGCTGCGGGACAGCCCGCCTCCCAGTGACCCAAGAGTACGGGCTCCACGTCAGGAATGACCTCGCCGTCATCGGCAGGTCCCTCGAATCCGTGTGCGTCGTCTGAGAGTTGGCCGAACCTATTCGCTCGTGACCTAGATTCGGGCGAGTCGGGGATGAAAACGCCTGAGTCCTCGACACAGTCCAAGTAGTCCCCGTCTGCCGCAGAATTCACGGGAAGACCAGCTGTGGGATAGCCAGAGTCTTGTTCAAAAGACCGCCAAGGAGCACATGGCATGATAACAGCCGGTGAGGAGAACCTAAGTCGCTTGACTGGCCGATCGTCGTTAGTGGAGCTCCCGTCGCTGATGTCCTCATCATTGCTGCCAGAGGGGGTCGGGTCCGGCAGACCAGAAAGGCGTTGCCGCTCTGAAGTCGTCAAGACAAATTCCTCAGAGCCATCGCCCTCAATAGAGATACTCGGGGTTAACTGATCGAGGAACCAGCACCGAGCTGAAGCCGTCTCGAAAGGATTGCCAGAAATGCCGGTATGGATGTTGTCTGAGACAACAGTGAAGTCACGTAGGAGTTCAGCCAGAGCATCCTCGACCGTAGAACCTTCTTGAGCGCACTCTGACTCGCCCTTAAGGTCTTCCAAACATTCAACCTGGACGTTCTCAATAAGCCGAGACACCTCTTCATGCGTAGGAACACTTGTCCCGAAGTTGAATGGCCTGTTCTCGACAGGAAACGTATTAGTGGCATGGGAAATGGACCCGTCGAAGTTTTAGTAAAGACGACGAACCGCCAGCTCAACTCGAGGTTCAAGGCCTTGGAGCCCTTGATCTCTTTCAAGAAGCCGCTTTGGGTAGAATCTTGTCGAGATATGACGGGTCCTAGTCTTGTCGAGTCCGCTATATCTTTGTCCTTCTTGATGTCCTTCGGCGCTAATAGAGCGCCGAGGGAGGCTGGCATATATGCATCGTTTGGCGGATGTTCGTTAGGTGGCGGCAAGTCGGGCACTGAGAGGGTGTGGGCCCAGAACAACAGTCTCTGTAGGTGGTGAAAAGCGGCTTACCGTCCATCAGGAGGGTTTCCTTGTCATCCAATCTCTCCTTTAGTATGAAGTCCTTCGGGTCGACCACAAAGCCTCCGTCCGTCCCACTCTCGTGTTTGTACATCTTTTTCAAAACTCTTGTGATTCCAATGTCGTCGCTGCCACTGCTCAGCTCCGGACTACCCGGACTCATTGTGCCCACTTCGGAATCCATGATGGTAGGTGGCTGACCGAGGAGCGAGGCAGTGATAGTCGTGTGCGGCGAAGACGGTTCGGACTTCGGCGTTATAGGGTTGGTCTGACCATCCATGGAACCACCACCGACAACAATTTTCGCGCGTTGCTTTGTTGGGGTTTTCGGTATTGGTTGAATAAATGATAGGAACGAGTGAAGACTGCGTGAATATTATCAGCTCATAAATATATCCACACATGAGGCGGCGCACCTTTCGTTCTCCCCGATAAGCCTTGGTTTTCCCTGCGAACATCTAAATCTCTTGGACCGAGGAAGCTCGTATTCATCTGTGGGTGTTGGTCATCAAGGCGAAAACCGTCGGGAAATCTCGTTACTCACCCATTCTATCGATATACTCTTTTGCGAGCTTTTCGTTTGTACTCGGGGACGACCAGGGCAGGTATCTGTCCACCTCAAGCTCGTCCACCTCTTCGCCGGATGACGAATACGAGGAGAAGCTTGGTGAAGATGGTGTCTCGTATGCTTCTGGAGCAATGTTATCAGTTTGCAACCCAATGATAACAGCGTATATATTCACTCCAACCGTCGACTACCACCATGTGTTCCTTGTAAAGGTCGGTTGACTCTTCTTCATTGGGGTTCTTTGCGGTCTGCACCAGCGGACCAAGGTCTTTGAGCCCGCCTAGTCCGCCATACCTACTTGCTGTTGGAAGACGAGCACCACCAGGATTTCGATCTCTGGCGAATAGAGGCGGCGACGCATATCGCGGGGGATCATAGGTGGGCGAATTTGTGTCTTTCCTGCACAGGAAGGCCGCAACGTGAACGTTATCATCGTTGTTATGCTTGAATGCGTTTCCCTGGGGAAGCGTCTGCTGAACTAGATCTCGTACAGATGCAAGCGTATCGGGATCAATGACTAGCTTGCGGCCGCTACATGGAGAGGAAGGTCGATGAAGTAGAAGGTCCGGTGGACGAGACGCATACGCACGATACCGTTTCGCGAATGTCTTCTTGGACTTCGTCGGTTTTTGATAGTTCTGTATCAATAATAGAAACATCGGCTTTTGCTACTCCACGGTCCGCGAGTAAGGAGTTCAATGGTCCAGGGACACGGCTACGAGCTGTCGTCTTCCCGAATTGAGGAGTTTGGTGGACGGCTCGTAACGTCAAGACAGGGGACAATGGACGAATATAGTGAATATCTGAAAAACCTCAGCTGTATGCTTTCAAAGGTTTCAAACGACAAAACATACCACTCTCGCCTTCAAGCCAGCAGTTCTCAGACTTATTGCATTTACACTTCGAACTAGCCGAGGACTGGAGGAAGTCCTTAAGATACGACTTGGCTTCTGGGTTGACATCCAACCTCTCCTGGTACTCTGTCACTCCGGGTAGTTTGAAGGTTGAAGCGATTAATTCCGGCAGGGCTGGTTCAAGGGTGAGAGATGTTGGATCCTGTGTTGGTATAGTATGTAAACTCTGGGACAAAATCTGCACAGTAATTGAACTCAATCTAAGGTCTAGTATGGTTAGTCAAGAGCACTCACTTCGTGTACGGTTCTATTAGTGAACGCGACATAGTCGGTGGTCAGGTGTGTAAGTGCATAATCGTGCAGCAGGTCGTGAATATGAGCTCGCAATGCCAATTCTCTACCTCTGAGCGACATGGATAGCTGAGTATGATGGTTGGGTACATGCGTCGCCTGGCGAAGGGCCGCGAAAGAATGACGCTGAAGACGCGATCAAACTCCGCCCGCGAGAAACGCGACGCGATTGATCCGCTTTCACGTTAATCTCTACCTACTAGCGTCTCCACAGGAAAGAATGGCCTGCCCACGCCGCAGCAGAAACTCGCATGACAGTGACTATCCCCTGTTCGTCTCACTTCTTCATCCTATCTAATGCACAAATTCTCCCGAGGTTCTCATGAGCTAGACACGTGCATGGCCAAAATATCCTGCTCTCACAGACCGCATCCATCGAGAACGTATGCAGGTTTATTTTTGTGCGTAGGCTCGGAGTGTCGCCTAATGCGATAGCTGTTCTCCCATTGAACTGACTCTCATGACTTATAGACGTAATGGAGCCAGCCTTCTTATGGCTTCAGATCCAGACGTCTGGTGAAGAGAAGCCTGTGGTCGGCCATACGGTTTAGCAGAGGGTCGAGTATATGAACCCGTGAATGTCTCTGCAGCGATAGGGCTCTAGCTCTAGGGCTCATCTCAGACCATTCACTGTCGCAAAACTACCAATGTTAGCCCGTGTCCTACTAGGTCTTGTCCTCGCAGTGCTGTCGGCGACCGTTTCCGCCGCGGCGACATCGGACGCGTCACTGGTCGTGAAAGTCCCTCTGGAACATTCCAGGGGATCCACTGCAGGCTCTCCCAATAATACTGACAAATGGCTCGGCATTCCCTTCGCTCAGTCACCGGTCGGGAACTTGCGCTTCAAGAGCCCTGTCGCCATTACCAAGCCCTCGCATTCGGTACAAGATGCTAACCAATTCGGTAATGCGTGCCCACAAAGACCATCAGACACCTTAGGTGCTCCGCTCGGCGAGGACTGCCTATTTCTCAACGTACGTTTCCATTGTATACACCCCAACATCACTTGACCTTTTGGCAGGTGTGGAGGCCGGCAGGGACGAGAGCTGACGCGAAGCTGCCTGTACTTGTCTGGTTCTACGTAAGCCTCCTCCCTACCGAGGTCACGTATCCGTTCTCAGATTTTATACATTCAGGGTGGAGCATTTATGGACGGGTAGGTGCCTTTTGTTTAGTAGAAAGGTAGCGGCTAACCATTTTCTAGAGCCGCCTCCAACCCTTCATTCGACCCAACGCGTAAGCAGCTGTGTCCATCCATTTCACTCATCCTTCGACGCTCCCTGTAGGCATCATCAATCGCAGTGCTAATATCTCAAAACCAATCGTCTTCGTCTCGATGTAAGTACAGACGCCATCCCATCGTTCCATCTCGGCGCACTGAATTGACACCATCAGCAACTATCGAGTCAACACCTTCGGTTTCGTCAGTCGTTTTTTCTTTCACACGAACTAATATTGTGCTGAGCATTGTTGCAGCTGGCCAGCTCTCATGTACCCATAGAGGACTTGGACGCCGGATTGCAGGACCAGCGACTAGCCCTCGCTTTCTTACAAGACAATGTCGCAGCTTTCGGTGGCGATCCGAACAAAGTGACAATCTGGGGTCAATCTGCCGGAGCCGGTAGTGCAGAGGCACAAATCGTTTTCCCGGCTAAGCAATCGCACTTCCGGGCTGCGATCTTTGACTCGTCTACCGGACCTTTGTCAGTCATGTCTTCCTTCAAGCGCTGGGATGTGGACTGACACATGTATAGCAAGACAGCTCCTCCCGCTAGTACGTACGATGAGCCAGGCAAGCCCTATGCGCTGTTGACCGAGGCAGTTGGGTGCACGTCGGGACCTGGCTCATTTGAATGCCTGCAGCAAGTCCCGTTCGAGGTATGACTCGTGCCATGGGAAATCTACTGAGGAAAATCTGACAAAAGCATTATAGACTTTGCTCAACGCCTCGAACACTCTGATAGGTCAACGTCTTAATGGACAGCTGTGGCAGCCTGCAGTGGGCCCTCCGGGGAGCTTCATTTCAGCACGCCCTTCCGTACAGATCGCGAGTGGCAACTTCCTGCACGTACCTATTTTGGCGGGTACAAACGTAAGCATGTCATTCCCTAGCAAAAACAAACTCAATAACACTCTTCACGTAGCTCAACGAAGGCACTATCTTCAGCGAATCCCTCCTGGGCCTCTCCATTCCACCATCCGAGGAGGACGCTGCA